ATATCAGTAGTATACTTAAATCCAAATCAACTTCATCGCCACTTACAGATCACACCTCAATCAACGGCTACGGCACAGCCAGTACCGTCAGCCCAATCGGACTGTAAATTGCATGAACAACACAGCGAGAAGGCGAAGCCAGCACAGTTGAAACGTCCTTCACTAGACAGGACACAGTCGAAACTTGCAAATTTCTAGCCACATGCGCGCTATATTTGGCGCTAACTGCGAATCCGCTGGTGCCTGTTGTTTTTGCTGAGTATCAGCAGCATGAATAGCACTCTTACTGGTCAATAGAGCCATAGACTTTACAGAAGTGGTCCCACGAGTGCCCTTCATTATATAAATCCAGGAAGGGGACACATTCGCAGTGATAGATTCTGAGGCTGTTGGAGTGGGTGTAGGAGCCAATGCAGGCAATGGTGGTGATGGAAGGTTTGAGGGTGAGGTAATAGGGAAGCTGGGTGGGAGGGGTTAGAAATTATACAGAGGGGGTGATAATCGTACCCGGACTGAACAAAAACGCGGCAGCGTCGTGCATCAATAACTAATACACAAACTAGCACGCACACTAGTGTACAGTCCGATACACAGTCCAATACACAGTTAAATACACAGTTAAATACACAAGTCAAATACAAGTTCTATCACACAGCCAAACGGTCAGGAAAATAAAGCAGCAACGCACAACAATACTTTCTGTAAACAATCACAATCACGCACACAAGGACAAACAGCGAATATAGCTTTCTGGCAGATACTTGCAGATATGCGACAATTAAACCGACATATTGTGGAAGTAAACGACCACATAGTAGAGCAACACAAACGGTCCAGGCAGGTATCTGATAAAAGGATCAGCACAATATATAAAGCTGTGCAGCGATTGCATGTAGGGCATAGTGTGAGCGGCAACGTAGAGGGACAATCGCGCAGTCAACCTCGGCCTATAAGACCCCCCCCTACTCACAGTAATACTCGAGTACAAGGTACGGCCCGCAATTGAGCAAGGGACCTTCGACACTAGCCATGCTTTGGACCGATTATGATGCTGGTTTGAATGATAATAAAGCTGTCAGCAACTTTACACAGCCCGAAAGGGCTAAATGTACCAAAAAAAAAGGGTTTCAGACAAGCTTTTTGGATGGCGATGAAACAACTCATCGCAAAGGGCAACGACTACCTATGGGCAACCAACATACTGCACGACCGCCATGGACAGAGTACTAATGTATGCAATATAGTACGTGCTATAAGTTAAGACATCAAACGTGGTAGACTTCTGTGATTTTTAGATAAATAAATAAATGTTCAAAGATTGTTGAAAAAAGTACCAGTATTGAGCCAACCTACCGATTATTTCCGATAAAAGAACCCGGCAAATGCCAAAAGGACTGTATACTGACTTTGTATTGGTTGTCTTTGTAATCGAATACTACTTCGTACTACTTTTCACTATTTTTGTAAATGATTTGACAAAGCTTATCACTGAATATCATGTCAAGCATCCTTCCTGAATGCTATTTATCCGATATTCGACACATTATCACAATAGCACAATGCATTTTACATGACGCTTTTCATCGTATTTAATATGATATATAAATGTAATACATCCTAGTACGGAACGAACTTTCTTCAACATATATGAAAGTAAGAGACGCACAGACCACAAGCGCCCCAGATAAAGGAAACGCAGAATCAGTTCAGAATTTAATATATCCGGAGGAAAAGAACTATGGAGTTTGCCCACGTTCACCGACTGAAGATATTGAAAAAAAAAATACTAT